CCTGGCCGACTTTGAGGGCACGCCACGGACACGCCCTTTAATGTACATGCACAAATAGCACAACTTTTAATCAAGACCATTTTTTGACTGTACTGACTAGTTTTGAAGCAGATATGATAAATTCTCTAGGAGGAGTTCGTTCAAATACAACGCAAAAAGTTCGCTGAAATTGAAATTGTAAATCAAAATGGCCAACTTCCTGTGGCATTTGGGGTATGGGTCCAAGAGGCATTTTTATACGTCACGGCATGTTACACGTGCCTACCGAGTTTCATACATATCGGTGAAACGTGGCGCCGGGGCTGCTGTTTTTTTTATCCTGCTACAAACACGACAAACACAATTTTTGGTATGTGAGCTACAGGCACCACTCTACATGTACCCTGTGAATTTCATATTAATAACTATTTCGATCTCCGCAGAGTGATTTACACTGCCTCCAGAGCGCCACGCAGTGGGGTAATTTTTTTTCTTTTTAGGTGAGCCTCAGGGACCCATGGACAAGCATCGTACCAAGTTTCATTTAAATCACATGTGCCGTTGCAGAGATATAAACTTCTTCATTTCAAAGAGCGCCACCTAGTGGCGATGGTCTGAAATTGTGCACGGTGTCTAAGGAAGACATGAGGAACTATGGATCCAAGTTTGGTGTCAATCGGACAAACCAGTGTTGAGAAATGGTCCTCTTCCTTTTTTGACAAAAAATCTACAGGAAGTCTTAATTTTATAGCGGGCTTATTTTTTGAAATTTCAAAAATGTTCAAATTACTTTTTTTGCCAGGGCGGTCCCCAGGTGCTAGGTGAATGATTTTGTGCGAATCGGACAAAGCGTGTAGGAGGACTATGGAAAAGTACTTTAAGGACATTTCGCACTCTAACAAACAAAAATTATAGGCGGGGCCTATATGGAGAGATTCAGCTCCATTCACCGAACGCGTGGATATAAGTTTTTTGAATGTGCGACAAAAAATGCAAAAGTTATTAAGTAACCAAAAAGTGAAAATTATTTTCTCAATAGTAGCGCCACCTAGTGGCCAACCCGAAAAAGACGCATAGTATATAACATTTTTCACCAGGCCTGACAACTTTGACAAATAAAATTGACTTTCCGTATATGTTCAGGGGGGCAAAAACGCAGTCAAAGGCGCTAAAAATAATAATAGGTAAGAATAATAAGAAACAGAAAATACAATAGGGACCTCCAGCGGTCGCTGGCTCGGTCCCTAATAATTCTAAAAATGTGACCTCGAGTTTTATAAAAATGTGCACTCTGTTCCGCTCTGCTCAGCTTTTGCACATTTTGTTTGTTTGTGCTTATATATATTAATTAACAGAGGCACTGACCCGTCATGCAGTAGGCACATTGACATAATGGTGAATTGGTACTGCTGAGGCTGAGACATCAGGGTTGGTACCGCTTGCTGTGCTATGGTAACCTGTTGGTGTATGTTATTCCTGTGAACAAGTCATCTTTTATAATCATAATTAATAATCACATACAGCTAATACCACAAACCTGGACTTAAAATGTTAAAATGTAACATGCTGCAAAACCTCCCATTTATATCTCTCTGTGGCCATTTTTACCACATTCAGCAGGATAATATCTTGGAATGGGCATTGGGATACTGGTCACAGGGTCAATCAGAAATCTCTATGCGTCATTCACAATTCTCTCTCTCAATGTCTTCTTAATCAGCTGACTATGGGTGTTTACTCTTTCAGTTAAACCAATCAGACTTTGCCACTATCTCCTTTAGCCAATCATGTCATGCTGCCAATGTTTAATCTGTTCTCCTCTCTACTACTGTCAGCTGTCATTTCAGCGCGAAATCGTCGTGACCCTCCTCCACCCCATTCACCTCCAGTTCATCATATCCAGCGCCCAGGTTGAGCTCATTAGAGTCCACTCCTCATCACATCCAGATCTTTAGCATTTTCTTCATCCTTCACCACCACAATCAGAGTCTGGACTCCATCAGGGGGGGTTTCCTATACTAATGACAGACTCGCAAACCCCTTAAAATACTTTTTTTTTTTTTTTTTTTTTTTTTTCTCTCCCCCCCCCCCCTTTTCCGACCCCCCCCCCCCCCCCCCGAAGGGGCGGTTTTTTTTTTTTTTTTTTTTTTTTTTTAATTTTTTTTTTTCCTTCTCCCTTTTCCCTTTTTCTTTTTTTTTTTTTTTTTTTTTTTTTTTTTATTTTTTTTTTTAAGGTTTTGTTTTTCCCTCTTCTTTTTTAAAAGTGTCCTGAGATAACTTCTTTTATTTATTGCCTATACAAATAAAATTAATTAATAATAATAAACGTCACAATTGGGTCTAATCGCCAAAGACTTTTCACATTTCTCCTCTTTATTATGTGCATGTCAATTAACTATATTCACTCATTCATTCAAAATGCAGTCTGACATGAATACACAGGCGACACTACGCTGCCTGAGAAGCTGTTAAATACAGAAATGACAAATCTATATTACTGTGTGGACAGTGCTGACAACCCCTTTCTCCACCAACAATCAAAGCAGAGCAGAATGGATTCAGACATTTGAGCACAAAGGAAGCTCTTCAGTGCGACCACAGTGCTTTTGATTTGGTTTCTCTTTCTTCTAAAAATAGACTTCCGTCCATGTCAACTGACACAACAGCAAATCATAAGAGATTGTCTTGAGGAGAGGAGGATTTCATGTGACAGTCTTTAGACTCACTCAGATACTATTATTATACTATTATTACTCTGAGGCCCACACACGCAACAAAATACCACTTTTCAGAGGACAAAAACCAAACATGAGATGCTTGCACATGGCACAAACAGCGTATTTGTGTCAGGGATACAAAGAGTGTGCGTGATTTCAAATTTGCTGGATTACTACGTGCTTTGATTGTCCCCACAGTAACCAGTAGTTTAGGTGTAACCCTGACAGAAGAAACTGAAAAACAGACCTATATTCAGAAATGAATTGTAGTGCCGGTTCCCTTAAAAAGCATATTTTCAGTCACCACCTTTTATTATGTTCTTTTCCATAGTGCAGTTTGTCTGTCTATAAATGGTTCTAACTAGTGTTTACAACCTCATGTAAATTACAGTGTTTCTGTGCCGTGTTACTTCAGCTGTAGTACGTCAGTGACCTCTGATAGAGACTCAGTAGGATAATATGCTGACAAAAACACAGTCTAGGAACAGTACATGCAGTAGGGAAGCCACTCTTTGAAATGTAATATTACTAACAGATGTAGACATAAATTAAAACTGTAAAAATAAAAACGTAACGTTTTATGGAGCATTAGACCATAATCATAGTCAGATGGGCGTGTTTAGGCATCTAAGAATGAGAATCAACCCAGACTGCCTGAGGCAATGTTGAAAATCCATGACAGAAGATGCACAACCAAGTGCTGAAACATGGTAAACACAGCTCAGCATTTTGTCCTCTCTGAAGAAAAGCTGAATTTACTGAAAAACATCAAGCCTGTTCATTTGCTCTGGACACATCTGTTTTTTATAAGAACAGCCAGCGCAAGTAAAATCCCAACTAATGTCTGACTTGGCTAAAAAATACCCATTTGATATTCTAACACTTTCTGGAAAATACACTATTATATCACTGCTGTTTGTTTTGCTTTATACATGGCTCCTGTGGCTCTTTTTTAAAGACAGGATTACCTAGAGCCAAAGCTTCACAGGGTGTTGCGAGGCCTTCTATATTTTAAGGGGTATAAGAAAACTATAATAAATAGACACAATTTACACTATATCTCAGCATTTTTTTCATTTCTGTGAAGAAAGCTAAAGGGCATTGTTATTTTTAAAGTTTAGATTAATATTTAAGACCTGAACACAAACTATATTCACAGAGCCTTCACTCTCTGATAAACAGACTTGTCCTGCATTAGAAAAGTACGCAGTTAAAACAAAGGGCTAATAAAACACTGACCAAGTGTCCAATTTGTCAAAAAGACACCTGTTAAGTATGTTTGTTAAAAACTGAAACTATAACAATACATTATATAGAATTGTATAAAAGGTACCAGGAAATAATCTGCTAACTTCATCCAAATCTCTGGTTTTACACAAACTTCCTGCAGTTATTGCTTTCACTGTTTGGGTTCATTGTACATTTTATCAGTTGTTCTCTGCTGTTATTGTTATGCATTGAATATAAAATTAAATATCCATACAATATGTCACTTAGTCAGTTTACTCAGTGATAGAAAATGGCTCCCTTAAGGAAAAAGATTGGTCACCACTGGACTAGAGGTAAAAGAGCCCAGCCCTGAACCCTAAAACCTCTCTGTGCTCTGACCTCTCTGATCTAAGGCATATATGTGGGGGACTGTATGTGTAACTAGGACAAGGGTGAAAAGACAAATTTCAATTACCTTGTGTACACTGACCATGAAGTAATCTTCATCTTCTTAAGATACTCAGTAACAGTACATAATGTTTGTACGCTAAATTTGTCTGCGGTCTGTTTCAGTAGGCGGCTTCCCTGCCTATACACCCTGACCTCCCTGAGGGCTTTGATTCATATGTACATAAAGATGGAAAATTATCAGAGCGGCATGAGCGACAAATGAATATATAAGATGATCATAGTGTATACACACTGCACACTAACTCTGTAACTCAAGCAACAGAGGCTTGTAAGAAAGTATTGCGCTGCTCTCCACAGCTCCTCAAGTCCTGATTAGACCTTGATGCCTACACAGCAGTTATCGACTGCAATCCCAGCAGAATTAACACACTGGACCACAGCCTGAAGCCAACAGCCTGAAGGAGCTGTGGGCAGATAGTAAAGAATTGTCCTCTGAGAGAGTAATCTCTTACCAGGAGAATACAGACAGAAACACATGACCATTTAATTGGGCACATGAAGGACAAGGGATGCAACTGAGGCTCAAAATTTAAAACAGAGAAAGTTCATCTGCATTTTTTCAAATCGACTTGGAAAAAATGCTAAGTCACTGCAACAGAGGAGGATGCTAAGGTTGTAACTTACAGTCAGGAGTTCTTTCTGGAAGGACTTCCGCTCTTTGCTCTCGGCATTGTTGCAGTCCTCCTTCAGCTTCTCCAGCACTGATGCGACCCTTTCAGGTTCGCTGTCAAGCTCTGCGCGACAGAAATGGGTCAAGGGCAGGTTGACGTATCCGAGCGCATCCGCAAACGCTCTCCAGTTGCCGATGTTCTCCATCAGTATAGTTCTGACAGAAGCGTAGATGTACGTGAGGAATTTGCAGGGCTTCAGTATCTGCTCCAGTAACAATGAGGTTGTAAGGTCGGGCCCACTGAAGTAAATGGGCTTCACTTTGCCAACCACTAGCACATTCTTTGCATGAACAAATCCCATTTTGCCCTGATAATATCCAATGTACCATTCTTTTGTCCACAGCTGGCCTTTCAGCTTGATCTTCTCCTCACTCAACAGAGCTACAAAGTCTCCTTTTTTATACTCGAGCAAGTACTGATTTTTTGTTTGTCGGATGACAGTTTTGATTAATTTGCCAAACTTCAGGTTATTTATTCTCCTGTCCTGGAAAACAGGATACTTGGTGGCGATGGCGAGAGGTGACAAGACAATCTTGCCTACTTCCTTCTTCTTCAGGAAGCGCCTTTGCACTGATGTCTTTGGGCCTGCTTTGGGTGGCGGTGTTGGTGTCTGGACACAAAACTGAGCCAGTATACAATCTTGGTCGTCTTTGACCTGGATTCTTAAGGTGAAATCAGAAACATCTTCAGTGCTGCGCGTGGCAATGACATAGATGAGCCTGCTGACTTTGCCTAATTTAACCTGGAATCCCCGGACCACTCTGGCCTGGTCACTAGCCTTTACCTCATATTTGGCCATGTTGGAGTAAACTCCAACGCGGAGGTCCTGGGGTTTGGACAAGACAAACTGGTGTTTACCCCAGAGCTGCAGAACAACTGATGGTGCAGACTGCACCTGTTTGCCTACCTCACTCACCAATAATGTCTTTGGAGCACAATCGTGGCCAAACATGGCCACGACTGTTTTGAAGGACGGGTGAATATGTTTGGGACCATATACCCCTAAGGTGATCTTTTTAACAACATGCTCCCAAACTGTGGAGTCTGGAGATATGGACTGGGACTGAGCCACAACACACACATACATGCACGGTTCCAGGTTATCCAGGCACACCCGGATGGTGTCCCCATACATGTACGCCTGAGGAATGGGGCTGTAAGGTCCCTCTTTACAATCACTCCTGACACACAAGACTTCTGTCATCTGCCTGCTCTCCATTTTCACCACAACAGACACTTTCATCTCCAGGGTAACAGTGGTTTTGGTCTCCATGTTGCTGAGTTTGATCTCCACCACAGGGCTGACGGTGGTGCAGCGGTCGTTGTTCAGCTCTAAGGGCGGGTCGAGCAGAGCTTTGATTGAAATCTGCTGGGTGTCCCCTGGGGCCACGTGGCCCTCGGGTAAATGGATGCTGATGTTCGTGTCCGGAAGCTGGACAGCACCTCCTGAGCTGTCCAGCCGACAGACAATGTTGGTCTCCACTGGTTGTGTTTGGCCCCAGCCTGGGTTCTGACCGAGCGAGTCCAAGTCATGGCAGGACCTGGCTAGCTTGCGGTGGGTGAGCCACGCTGTCCGGAAATCCTCCCTGCTTTGGAACTGCTCTGGTGCCGGTGCTTTAAGACCTCCGAAAAAACTGTTGGAGGTCTGAGGGGCATCGGACTGAGCCTGCAGGATAGACAGCTCAGACAGACTGTAGGAACGTTTGCTTCTAAAAAATGGGTTGTCCCTGCGCAAGGTTTGCCCGACCCCTACAGTGGGACTAAGAGGGTTCAAGTTAAAAACGCCACTGCCAAAGCCATTGATGTCAGCGGTGCTGCTGGTGGAATTGGGCACTGATGGAGTGAGTGTATCGAACAGAAGGAGGTCAACTGATTTCTCATTACTGTTCTGATCAAGTGAGCTCTGAGGCCCCCCGTTTAGGAAAGGGTTTGTAGAGGTATGGGTTGTTGCAAAAGGATTTCTGTTTTGGAAGGTTGTTGGTTTCAAAATCACCCCTGCCCACTCTCCTAGAAGGTCCATTTCTTTGGCTGCCTCCTCGTTGCAGTCTCCTACGGTGTCAATCATCCCACTGTCACTGAAGGACGAGTCTCTGTAGTTGAGGGGCTGCACATAAGCAGCAGGTATGTAACCCATCTCTGTGTTGTTGTGGGCATACCACCACTCACCTCCTGATGAGTCTAGAACGTAGAGGCGATCCCCTTTAGAGAACTTCAGGGTGGTGAAGCTGGATGGGCAGTAGTCCTTAATAGCAACGACTTCCCTGGCAGTCCCGAAGGAGGCAGTCGCGTCCAGTCGCAAGGCACTGGGAGAAGGCACTGGAAAGAAAAATAACAATATCGTAATACAGTATAGGTGGATAATGTCCTAGACATCAAATATGGTTTGATGTAGGTAGGTTTTTGTGAGTAGCAATGTGTCTATGATATTCTTTTGGCCAATTAATTTCTGATCCGTGGGGTGGAGGGGTGTATACTGCCACTGAATCACCTAGTCAGAACGCTTTAATAGAAAGCACAAATATCGAAAGACCAAAAACATGACAACAAACACAACTAAGGCCTACAACAGTTAATAATAATAACAAAATAACTGTACCACTTGCAAGGATGTCATCATTAAAAATACAGGCTATCTCATGGACTGTCACTACCAGATGCTTCAACTAAGTAGAACACAGACTTGATCTGTTTCAGCACAGACTGGGGGAAAACTGGAAGTCTCCTCATTAATTCATCTGCTCCTGCTGTTTCTTGAATGGACAGCCCGAACAAAGTAGAAACTGCTTACTGTTCAGTTTCACCTCTCTAACCAGAGATGGCTCAATATCTCATCAACAAACAAAGAGTACAGATGTATTTTAGTCTTTTCTCACTCTGTCCCTCTCCATCATGTGACTGCAAGATTCACTTCAATCAAAGTTGTCAACAATGTGATGTTTTGATATTTTTGTGCAAATCATAGTTACTCTATTCACATGTTTTAGATGTTTTAAAGATCAAGACAAGCAATTCAAATGAATCAAATTAATTTGATTAATCCAACCAATCTGACTTAGGGTTGGGTAATACGTTAAAATGTCACCATCCGTCCAACTGACGACAGCAAATATATTTGCACATGCATGTGTGCTGATGCTCCTCTACCACTCCACGCCTCTCCTCTCCTGGCCTGTCCCTCTCCTGTTTTAGCCTGTCTCTGCCTTATCCTCATCCTTTCCGGAGTAACAGTCCTGGTTGGAACCTCTGCGAATCACCTGAATTTCCAGTCGTCAAATTAGTCAAAATAAACCCTTAATTCAAGGCAGTTAGATGTAAAAATATACTGGCTCTAAAGCTGTTTTTCCTCTCACTCATTCTTTGACTTGGTGTGAATATGGCACCACTGAGCAGCAGCTCTCATTTCCGGAGGCAGATGATTAAATTAACAAATAAAATGACAAAAATCCCCCAAAAAACCTTGTTGACCAGCCAATATATTCACCCAATCTTCCAAACCTAGTTTGAATGTCATTAAAACTACAAAGGTGATTCTGTCTTCCTGTTAAATGCGTTTGTCACTTTGAGCAGCTGACCTTTGACATCAGTCAGACTGGCTTCGGACACTCCTTCGCTGAGATCAATGAGGGTCCCCTCAGACTTGCACCGCGGTAGAGAAGTGTTGTTGGTGGCGGTGGCTCTGATTCGATGGGCGGCCATGTTGTCACTGTGCACCGACCAGTGTCTTTAGGCTACTCTAATGGGTTTCCTTTTGTTAGTGGTGAAGTCAGATGTCAACAGCCTCCCATGATCTCTGAAAGACAAAAAGAATAGGATTATATAACATAAAACTAGACCTGTGTTTCTTTGCTTGTTATCTGGTACTTATGATATACAGTGTTAATAATGACTCTATTAAGGAAACAAAAGAGGTACATAGCGCAGTGTTCTATGTGAAAGATCAAATGCAGACTCCCCATCCTCTTCTTTTGAAATGTGTTTTGTTGACGTTAATCATTCTGGAACTGAGATTTTCAACCTCCTTTTAATTTGCAATATTTTTCGTTTCCCTGCTTACAAGCTTTCAGCGTGCTGCAAATCAACATAAACTAAGCAATAAACTGCAGTATAAAGTGGATGTGCATAAATATGTGTGTGATTAAAGTCTTCTGAATAGCTTTGATCCTCCAGCTTCCTCTCAGGAGCCTCCTCTTTTGACCTTCATGTACAAAATCAGACCAACAGGAGACTTAGAAAATAAATGTAAACAGAATAACAAATTATTTCATGCTGAGTTTGGGCTGTCTGACTCATAAATGCAGATGTCTGATTAGCATTCCTAGATATCAGATTATTTATTCAGAGGCCTTGTACACCATTTCTGTGATCATTAACAAATTGGTTAACTGAGAGGAAAATTAACATTTCAAAATCTTCAGTTCATTTTCTCTCTCTCTCTCTCTCTCTCTCTCTCTCTCTATATATATATATATATATATATATAATTTAAAAGATAATAACCTGATTTAGTGTATGATAAGGTAAATCATATCATATATTGACTTTATTGGTAAATTATAGGGATGCAAGATATGGACATTTTTACCGATACCAATAAGAAAACTTCACATTTTATATACAAGTTCATAACCAGTAATTTATGCAAAACTAAAGGTAAGAAAGGCTAATATTTAGTGAGAAAAGATGGATGATTTAAAAGTCATTCAGCTCTGTTCTAACCAAATCTGACTCCACTACTTTTAACACAACAACAAACAACAGATCTGACTTCAAATGTTCTTTTATTTGTTTTAGTTCATCAAAAAAATGCAACAAACTCATTTTGAGACTGGCATAGACCATTAAGTCTACCAAACAACTATACCAAACAGTTCAAAATATATTACTAATATTATCCAAATCATATATTATACAATATACATTTCACATTATTGACCAATCATTTATTTTTAAAATGTGCTTAAACAGATGTAATTGCATTGCTGCTGTCAGGGTATTGTATTGTGCTATGATCCAAATGTTTTTTCTCTGTAAACTCACTGTTTTGACTGTATAGCAGAAATTACACAGCTGCTGACTCTTATCTGTTTTTTCAAATGAATGCAACCAGAAACATAAACATAATATATGATTAGTGCCTCCTCCAAAGGGATTGTGTTAACCTTTTAAAGGATAAGGCTGGCAAGGTTCTATATTTTTCTTACTGTCAACAAATCCCATGAAAATATCAAAACCAACACTGTGTTAGTCTGTCTCTCAGTACCTTCTGACTTCCCTAACCTGTCTGTGGCTCTCAACTCCAAGCCCATTGGTTCCTACTGAAGACATAAATATTTTAAAATGGCAAACAGATAGCAGTGCTCTGTTTGATTCGTCATCGTTATCAGACAATAATAAGAGTATTTTTTGAGTAAACAATAAAACATCAAAGTGGATAATTCAGTAGAATTACAAAGGTTAAATGAGAAATGACCTACAGAAAAAGAAATATACCCTCCACACTTTCACTGTCTTTCTATTGACAACTGTTCAGTTCTAAATTGCTCCCAATAACCAAGAACAGGCTGTGGTTTTAGTTGCGTCATGCTGCACATGTTGGCTGCCAATAACTACACAGTTGTCAGTTCATGACTTAATAATTAATTAATTATTTTAATTTTAATTATTTTAATACTTAATATGCAATGTTGTTAGAAATAGTAAATAATTATAAATAAATAAGGCTACACTATAAACATCGGTCTTCAATTAGACCCAGTGATTGGTATGGGCCAATGCTGCGTCTAGCGATCGGTGACTGGCCTCAAAAACCCTGATCAGAGCACCGTTATAGTAGTGCTGGCCGATACACCAGATGAAACAACAGCTATTACTCTTCAACAGACAATATTATTTTTGCCAATAAAAGCGCAATGATCAAGGTAAGCAGTGTAGAATGAATTGAGAAGGGCACCCCTTTAACTGTGTACCCTTCTAACTAAAAGATATTACTTAATCACACAACAATTAATAATCCACAGCTAACTCTCTTCATTGCGTCAACTCCTAGTTTTAGCTACTTTTAATGGTATTACTAACCAACATTTAAATCACTGATAAAAAATGTATAAAATGCAGAAAAACTGCAAACAGCAGATGTGGGTCAGTGGAACGCCACGGTCTGAGACACCCCATGCGTTTTACTTCAATCCATAATTCATACCAGTGTCAGCTCGGGAAGACACGCTGCACAGAGAGGATGAGGCTGGTGATGGCTTATTACTGACACACTTCTACAGCAGGAGACATTCAGCTGGGACACTTCAGACAACACTGATTTAATTTTCATTACATAACTTTCAAAACATTAAAATCGTGATGAGGTGACATTTGTTGGGGTCTGTACCAAACAGATATGTTTTCTTATTGGAGAGGTGGTTCGGGAGGCAGACACCCTCTCCACATTCAAGAGTAGGCTTAAGACATTCCTCTTTGATAAAGCTTATAGTTAGGGCTGGATCAGATGAGTCCTGAACCATCCCTTAGTTATGCTGCTATAGGCCTAGACTATCGGGGGATTTCCCATGGTGCACTGAGCTCCTCTCTTCCTCTCTCTTTCGGCACTCACACTTCCCCGGAGTTCTTGTGCTTTCTCGTCTTGCAGGTTCTTATCGATCCTGGTGGAGCCTCCTGCAATGGTCCTGCTAGATTGCCATTGCCAATACTGTTGTTACTGTGCACCTGTCTGTCTGTCTCTCTCTCTCTCTCTCTCTCTCTCACCCCAACTGGTCGAGACAGACGACCACCCACCTAGAGCCGGAGGATCTGTCCTAGGTTTCTGCCTTTTAACAGGCAGTTTTTCCTTGCCCTTGTCACCAAGTGCTTGCTCATGGTGGTACTGTTGGGTCTCTGTAAATAATGTTATAAATAGTTCGGTCTAGACCTGCTCTATTTGAAAAGAGTCCTGAGATAACTTCTGTTGTGAATTGGCGCTCTACAAATAAAACTGAATTGAATTGAATATAAGAAAACTAAATTTTATTTGGCAAAGTTGTCAGGCCTGGTGAAAATGGGGATATTCTATGCGTCGCTTTCGGGTTGGCCACTAGGTGGCGCTACTATCATAAAAAATGTGTTTAAGCTAATAACTTCTGCATAGTTTGTCGCACATTCAAAAACCTTGTATCCACGCTTTCCGTGAATAGAGCTGAATCTGCCCATCTAGGCCACGCCCACTTCCACAATTTTTCTCCGCTGTAGCCCGAAATGTCCATAAACTACTTTTCCGTGTTCCCCCTATGCGCTTTGTCCAATTCGCACATTTTCACGTAGCATCTGAGGACCCTCATAATACAAAAGTGAAATCAAAGAATTTTGATATTTCAAAAAACCAGCACGTTATAAAATTAGCACTTCCTGTGGATTTTTCGTCAAAAAAGGAAGTGGACCATTTCTCCACATTGGTATGTCCGATTGACACCAAACTTGGGTCCATAGTTCCACATGTCTTCCTTAGGCATCGTGTACAATTTCAGGCCATCGCCACAAGGTGGCGATTTTTAAAATGAAGACGTTTATATCTCTACAACGGTATGTGTGATTAAGATGAAACTTGGTACGATGCTTCCCCATGGCTCCCTAAGTGTAACATGCCGGGACGTACAGAAAGCCTCTGGGACCCATACCCGAAACCACACAGGAAGTTGGCCATTTTGAATTCCATGTGCATTTTCCGTGAATTTTTCGCCTTGTATTTGAACGAACTCCTCCTATGGAATTTATCGGATCTACTTCAAAATTGGTCAATACAGTCAAAGAATGGTGCTGATTAAAAGTTGTGCTATTTGTGCATGTACATTAAAGGACGGGTCCGTGGCGTGGCATCAAAGTCAGACATTCTGATTTTTTTTGTCATTTTCTGTGATTTTTCGTGTTGTATTTGAGCGAACTCCTCCTAGGGAATTTATCGGATCTGCTTCAAAATTTGTCAGTACAGTCAAAAAATGGTGCTGATTAAAAGTTGTGCTATTTGAGACTGTACGTTGAACAGTGTGTCTGTGGCGTGAGGTCAAAGTTGGCCACTTTGAATTCTGTGGTCATACAAACTGAAAAGTTTAGCTATTTGTGACTGTACATTAAACCACGTGCCAGTGACAACTTATAAAATGGTACTCATAAATTCAGTGTGCAATATCCAATCTCCAATAAACTTCATATATTCTGAAACAGTTTTGCCCTGAACACGTCCTCATAACTTCAGCTTACGTGGTCCAATCTCAATGAAACTTCAAGTGTTTGATAACACTCTCGCCTTGAACATGTCTAGATGACAACATTCAGACATAGCGATAGTACCTCCTACTGGCAACAGGAAGTAAGCACTGCGTGGCGATTTTGAGCTGATTAACGTGAGATTACGACTGCATGCAACGCGCCCGCAGCACTCCACGGGTTGCGTGGAGTGCGAGGTCCCGCCCAACGCTGCTTGCAGCTTTAATTTGTTTTTGTTTTCTGTTAATCATATTTGATTGCTTTCATTGCCCCACTCCACAGGGTCACCAGATGATTTCCCCAACGCGTTTTGCCTAGGCATCTTTGTCTTCTTGTCAAAGTCTTCTTGTTGCACATGTGAAGAGAACAGTTACATTGCAATTTAGGGATTCAGAGTCTCCAGTTTAGTCCAAATATTCCCCCTTCTTCTATCAAAGTTAGTTTTGTAGTTAATTGATTTTAGTCCAACTTAACATTGAGGTTCGATTTGGGGGTTCTCAACTGATGATTTGAATCAGCTACAGGGCAGCTGCAGCATATATT